CCCACAAAACCCTAGTTGCCACAGAATCAGTTTTGACTCATGGTTGTTGTTGTTGTTAAGTACCGTGGAGTCGGTTCCAACTCATAGTGACTCTGCACAGGGTTTCTGAGGCTGTAAATCTTTATGGGAGCAGAAAACCTCATCTTTCTCTGGTGGAATGGCTGGTAGTTTCAAACTGCCCACCCTGAGGTTTGCAGCCCGATTTGTAACCACTACGCTACCAGAGCTCCTTGACTCATGGCAACCCCATGTATTTCAGAGTAGAAATGTGCCCTATAAGGTTTGTTTTTCCCCACATGTGGCATGAATTTATTCAATATTAAAGCAGTAGGCTTTTGTTTAGTATTTACTATAGGTACATGGTAGCTTTATACTTGTTTTCCCTATGACAATTTTGTGTATATGTTAAATGTTACTTGAAATGTTTGTATTATCTATCTGCCTATCTATCTGTATCTATATGGCAACTAAGGTTTTGTTTTTTTTCTCATACATATATATACCTGGAGTCCTGGTGTGGTGCTGTGGGTTAACGTACCAGACTGTAAAGCTGTTTGAACTGCAACTTCAGTGGTTCAAGCTCACCAGCTGCTCCTAGGAAACGTGATACAGGGTAGCTATGAGTCGGAAACGACTCAACAGAACTTAACAACATATATATATATACCTATGTATGTTTTTTTTTTTTTTTAATGTTTTATTGTGACTTATGTGATAGTTTACATGGGTGAACGTTAGTTTTACATTCATCCTATCTTATATCGTTTCATTGCCATGGTTACAATCCCCTCCATGCATCATCAACCAACCAAAGGGTATACACTGCAAGCCTGCTCCCCAGTCGTCAGCACACAGCCCCTCTCCTTCTCTGGGTCTAAAGTCCCCAGCTGCTCCATCTCTGCAAGTCATTGTCTCTGCCTCCATCTCAGGGGTCACTCCTTCCTATATGTTTTTGATGTGAAGTGAGTGAAGGTTTACAGAGCAGATCAGTTTCCTATCCAATAATCCACACACATTTTGTTTCATCTCATTGGCCCTTTAAAGTTTTCAATGGCTGATTTTTTTTTAGAAGTAGGTCCTTGACTTTTGTCTTCCAAGAAGCCTCTGGATGGGTTCAACAAACTTTTTGGTTAGTAGCCAAATTCGTTAATCATTTGCACCACCCAGCGACTGAGAAAGGAAGTAAAAAAAGTAGGGGTTTTACTTTCCCTTTTATTTGGTAAGTATATATAAGACAAACTATTTTCCATTTTAACATTTTTACGTGTACAATTCTAAAATTTAAAAAAAAAGTGACAAAAAGAAATGAATATAGGTAATCCCCAGGTTACAAACGGCTGAGGAACAGCTGACTTCAAACAACTCACAACTTGCACTTGCCCTTTATTGTTATGTGCCATAGAGTCGGTTCCGACCCATAGCGACCCTGTATAGGGTTTCTGAGGGTGTAAATCTTTACAGGAGTAGAAAGCCTCATCTTTCTCCCGCGGAGCAGCTGGTAGTTTCGAACCGCTGACCTTAAGGTTCGCAGCCCGATTCGTAACCACTACGATACCAGAACTCCTTATTGAGAAAGTACACTTGCCCTTTAGTTTTATGTTAATTTGCCCTCACTTTGAAACAACTGAACCAAGCCCTGCTTGCACAAAATTTGTTGCACATGCTGCTCTTAAATCATGACAAAGGCGTCAGGCATTTTCATGCACGAAAGTCAAGCTAAATAACATATGAACCCACTCCGATTTACCTACAATTCAACTTAAAGACATTTAGGAAAAGATCTGGTTGCTAACCAGGTAGCTGCCGTTTTATTTCCCCATTATTGAATCCTGGTGTGGCGCTGTGGGTTCATGTGTCAGACTGCAAAGTCGTTTGAACTTCAAGGTCGATGGTTCAAGCTCATCAGCTACTCCTCGGAAACCCTATACAGGGTCGCTATGGGTCGGAATTGACTCAACGGCACTTAAGAACAACATTGAATATACATTCTGAATTCCTGGATTTTCTACACTGGAAGATTGCAGAACTTGATTCTAAATTCTAGCTCCTTTGAACAATCCTGACCAGTCTCTGGTGAAAAGTGGGGACAAAGGAAAACTTATAACCTATTCTTCAAGCAGTTGTTTCCCCTAAGTCTGGTGGGAAAATGGTCAGTTCCTATGCGGTATGGGAAGTCCTATGATGGAGGAAAATCGCGGCGCTGTACAGTTAGATTCCAAGGAGAAAAGACACTTGAACCTAGGATTTCAAACAAAGGATGTCACAAAACTGTCAAACCACTGATGGGCAAAGAAGGGAGAAATCGTAGACGTCACCTTATGTGCAATGAATATCCAGGGTTAGCTACAGTCCCCCAGGATACCTGGCTCTAAACAATTGAACCCCTCTTTCCTCTAACATAACACTTCTCCGAATGAGGTTTACTTCGTTTCAGAGAGCTCGCGCCCGCGCCAGGGCTGTTGCTGGGTGGGCAACCATTCTGTGATTGGTGGAGGTTCAGAGATCCGCCCGTCAGCAGATCGACAATTCAGACTCTGATTGGTGGAATCACCATATCTCTCCGCCTCATCTATAGATTGACAAAAAGCTCGCATCATCCGGGACGGGGTGGATGGGAGAAGGTCGAATCCTGGCCTTCTACACCACGGTGTTTTGGAAAAAGTCCCCAAGGAAAAATCGACGAGACCGGAAGCCGTGCCTCCCGGAACATTGTGGACTTCGGTTAGGGGCAGGCCCAGACTCCCAGCGCCTGCGTTTCTTTGCCGGGGGTGGGGAATCGTCTGCGTCGGGGAGCTGATTCGCAGACCCGGTGCGAGGAGCGGACTGGAATTTAGGTTTCTCAGGCCTTTTTACCTGGGCGGGTAGCTCCAAACGATAAGCACTGGACTGCGAACCACAAGGTCCGCCGTTCAAGCCCTCCAGTCGCTCCGGGGGAGAAAGATGAGGCTTTCTGCTTCCTGGAAAGTTATTAAATCCTTAGAAACCCTATACAGGGTCGCTATGAGTCGGAATCGACTCGACCGGCATTTAATACAACCTTCCGGCCAGGACTCTTCGCTTCCTCCGCCAAACAACCCAGCCCTATGTGATATCTGCGGTGCCGTTCTTAAGCTCCGTCCTTGACTGCAAGGCGGGAGCTCCAACGCCTGACATTGAGCTCAGGCACACCTCTCTGGCCATCCTTCTTTATCCCGCATGTTTCTTTTCCTACCCAGCGGTCCAGAAACTCCTTTCTCTGCTCTCTGGGTCTTCCCTCGTCCGTGAAGCTACTGAGATCACAAGTTTTAACCGACTGCTGCTCATAGAAGCCGTTTAAGTGCAGTGGAGTCGGATCCGGTGGTGAGTTTGAACTGCCTGCTTTTTGGTTCAAACTGACATTGCAGTCCAGCGCATTAACCTACAGCGCCACACCAGGCCAGTTGGGGGACATTTAAGTCTAGCCTCCCATCTAGCCCAGTCACTTACAGACTAGCCACCAGATTCCCAGGCTCATTCATCCCTTCTCTGAACCTCACTGCCCACATCTGTGAGATGAGGAACTCCTAGGTTCTTTGTACTGGTAATACACTAGAGGCACTTTACCAAGTACCATTTTTTCTTTCTCCATTGCTTGCCTAAAATTCCATGCCAAGGTTTTACAGCTTTGTCTGTGTATAGTTGTAAAATTCGGAACAGTTCTCCCATCATGCTCCCCCCCCCCCCCCCCCCCCGCTCCGATTTTGCCAGCTTATACTTGACTCTTCATTCCATCAACAATTTCCTGAGCCTCTGCTGTGTGCCAGCGCTACATAGAGTGGTGCTGAGGACCCAGATAACCAAATCTGGTCTTTCCCACTAGTGGTAGAAAGTATGATTCGTGATGAAAGGTGGAAGGACACAATGCCACAACAAAAATCCAACATATGAAGTACTCTTAAAATTCTTAGAAGAATGCAAGCTGGAACCAAAGGGAGCATGGGGTAGTTCCAAAGAAACCACATAGGAGAATGGAGTTTGACAGCTTCCTGGGTCCATATAGTTGAATAAGTTCATTTGGCTTGGGGTGGATGGTTTTGAGTAGAGGCTGTGTAGTGTGTAGTGTAATTGTTAAAAGCAGGGTTTTAGCATATTTACTGTACATGACCTAGCTGAGTTTGTCAAATGTGTATATCAAAGACCCATCGGCATCAGTTGCAACTCAGTGACCCTATAGGCCAGAGTAGAACTGGCCCATTGGGCTTCCTGTGGTGTAATCTACAGAAGCAAAAGGCCACATCTTTCTCAGAGCAGCTGGTTGGTTTGAAACCTTGACGTTTCAATTAGCAGCCAAGCATTTTAACACTGTGCTATCAGGAGTCCTTAACTGTGGGTTTGAAAAAATAAACCCACTGCCATCAAGTAAATTCTGACTCATCGTGGTGCTATATAGGGTTTCTGAGACTGTCTTTATGGGAACAGACAGCTTATCTTTCTCCCACAGAGTAGTTGGTGGTTTTGAACTGCAGACCCAACCCCTAACTACAGCATCACTAGGGCTTCAACATATGTAGATATGTTGTTGTTTAGTGCCCTTGAGTCACTTCTGACTCATAGTGGATATAGTATCTACTTTATTTACACTTAAGATTTAACGCCTATCAAGACTTGAGCCATTGAACTTTGCACTTGGCTATACGTTTTTGAACACACCAACTAGCATATATTGTGTGAAGAAAATGGTAATGCCTTGAAAGCCAAGATAAAGAATTTCAATTTTCTCTGAGTAATAGTGATCACACAGTTTTGAGTACTAGAGGGCACTGATCAGAAGTGGTTGGAAATGAATGGATGGAGTCAATAAGATCTAAAGCTACTGAAGTGGTTACAACCCACCATACTTTTCCCACTCCCATCTAAATGCCTTTACTTTCAACCACAAGCATTTGAAAACCATGTTTCTAAAAACCAGCCATTTATATTTGTTTAGGTAAGTTACAGAGGGAGTGAGGTGGTGTATTTACAAGTTGGTTTGTCCAGATATGCTATAACTTAGTGTCTGTATTTAATATTGACAACCAAAAATATATATATATATATAAATATCTTCCATCTATACAGCAGGGCAGGAGTATCCATGTCTTCTTGAGCAGTGAATTCTCAGCCTCCCAGGATCCTCCTCTCATAGTGATCGTCTGGCCTCAGTGCAAAGGAGATTAGAACCTGGAAGCCCAGCCTGGCCCCTCCCTTCTCTCCTCTCCGCACTCCAGTGCTCCCAACTGGTGGCAAGCAAGGAAAGATTAATTTGAGTGGCTGGGTAGGAAGAGATGGGGATGGGTGAATCCTAATGGAGCCTGATCCCTAGGACAGAGAGATCCAAGCCTACAGAGGGAGCCACCTCCCTTGAAGTTCATAGTTCTTATTAGTGTGTCCTTGGAAACAGATCCAGCCCTGCATATTAGCTTGGTGAAGAAGGCAAAGTGTAGGAGAAAGGCTTGGTCCTCACCCTCAGGTGTGAAGTCATTCAGGGTGAAGCCTAGTCATTCAGGTGTGAAGTCATTCAGGGTACAAGAGACTGGCTGATAAAAAAATAATAAAATCAGTAATAAAAAAAAAAATTATAAAACCTGTTGCTTTAAGTGAATAGACTGAGCAACAGTCTTGCTTTTGTTAAAATCCTAGAGCCATGAAAGTCCTGAATATTCTTCTGGGTATCATTATTGGCTGAAGTAAAGGAGCCCCAGGCCCGGCTCCGCTGACATCTGTCAGCTCGGAAGTCTGGTCCAGCTGCCTGTACACCAAAGAATCCTGGAGGCTACTGGAAGCAGGCTGGCCTGGTGGTACAGAGCACCTCACACTTGGGAATCAGCCCCCAAGGGGTGGAACAACTCCTCAGGTGTCTTGTCACTTTGACCGGCTCCCCCCTGCCGGAATCCAGAAGCAATCTCATCGAAGGTCCGGCCTTTAGTCTCCGGAACTTTGAAGTAGGTGAAGATGAAGAATAGGACCAGGAGCACCGTGAAGATAATGAAGACGTAGGGGCCACACAGTTGCTAAAAAACACAGAAATACATTGGAGTCCTGGCTGTAGCACCTTGACTTAGTCACTTTACTTCAGGCCCTTTGATCAGAAAAAGGGAACACCCACACAACCCAGGGGATGCTGTGACAATGGCACATAATGGGCTCCAGAGGCATCTTCCCATTGCAGAGCAGGAAGAGGAGATGATACAAAGCTAAGGAAAGAAACCTGGTGGTGTGTTTACAAGTTGGTTTGTCCAGATACACTATAACTGTATTTAATATTGCAACAATTAAGTGATATAGTCTCTCTATACCCAACAGGGTTAAGAGTGTCCACATCTCTGGAAGTCCACCAACAGTGAGTTCATGCATGTAGGTGAATAATGGTGAGTGTAAGCAACAAGGGTATACTCACCTCCACATACTGGAAGCACATGCCCACAATGAAATTTGAGGTCCAGTTGGAGAAGCCAGCAACAGCAATAGCAGCTGGGCGAGGGCCCTGGCTGAAGAGTTCAGCCACAATGAACCATGGTATGGGGCCAGGGCCCACTTCAAAGAAGGCCACAAAGCCAAAGATGGCCACGATGCTCAGATAGGACATCCAGGGCAGCTGTTCCTGTTGAGGATGAGGGGGTGGGGGGTGTATTAGGCTGGGATGAAATAGATCTGCAGAGAAACAAGGAGCAGAGGCAGCCCAGACTGGGTGGGTGGCAGGAGGTGTGGGGCTGACCCTGGATTTGCTATGTGCCCTAGGTATTCTGCACTGGGTTGGTTTCCTTGTGTGCGGACAGAATGATTTCAGCCCTGCAGGGGGATGGTGTCCACCCTCTGGACATGGTAATGGGCTGAGAGTAGAAGGCACAATGAAGAGGTCTCTGTGGCCCCCTGGCTCTGGATGCAGAGCAGTCTGCACATGAAGACATTCCTGGGCATGAGGGTGGGATAATCCTGGAAGCCTAGTAACATGCACAGCTCAGCCTGGCATCAAGTAGAACCATTCTCAGGAGGCCATTGAAGAATGGTTCAAGTCCCAGATCTGTCCCTCACTTGCTGAATGTGAGGCCTCCTGCCCATCACTAGGCTCTTTAAGCCTCTGTCGTAAAAGAAGCATCAGGTACTTGCCCAGAGGTTGGACAGTTGGTGTTGATGTGTGTGTAAAGTACCTGACACAGGGTATGGAAGTGGTTAGCCATCGGCTGGTGAGTGGTCAGTAGGGCTGAGGTGTGCTTCCTGGCTTCATCCCTAACTTGCCACATTACTAACCTCCCTAGGCTTCTAAGACTTATTGCCCACGAGATGGGAATAGAGTGCAAACAAGTCATAAGAACCGAGTAAAACAGGGTGTGTTTTTCTACCTATATGGCTTTTTTGAAGGTTAACTGAAGCTACAGATGAAGACTTTGATGACAAGATTTATTTTGGGCAAACTGACTCCCTGGGAAGTAGGGAACTTGAGGCCTGTGGTTGTGCAGAGAAAGCACCAAGTGGAGAGACACAAATCTCAGCCGGGTGTGAGGGAGGTAGGAGACAATCTAAGGACTAGAAGGTCAGGCCCAGCCTTGAGGTGATGTGTGTGTGTGTGTGTGTGTGTGGCGGGGAGGGAAGGGAGACTAGGTAGTGGGGCTGACCTGGGACCAAGAAGGGCACTATGGAATGTGCTACAGCTTGGCCTTTCAGAGCAGGGGACTCACCAGCAGTGCCAATGCGATGGTCATGAGTACAGCACAGCCTGCCATGCCAGCCAGGCCGATGAGGTGGAGGGTCCGCCGGCCAGCTCGCTCCACCACAAACAGCTATGGGGAGAGAACGAGTGTGTCAGCACCAGCCTCCTGCCCATCTGGTGCCCACCTGCAGGCTTGCCTGCCACCCAGAAACCGAGACCCTGAGGCCCTGAGCTGCTGACCGATTTTAATCAAGGACTCACCGAGACCACGGTGAAGGCTGTGTTGACAATGCCGGAGCCGATGGTGGCATATACAGGCTGCTGCACGCCTGCCTTCTCAAAGATGCTGGTGGAATAATAGAAGACCTGCCAGACAGAGACATCATTAGGGCTTTGCCAGACACTGTGGCTGTCCCCGTGCCTCTATACCAGGAACGCAGAGCAAATAACAACTGAGGGGTCAATGGTTTCTCAAACAGGTGGCTACTGCACCAGTAGGTTCTGGCTCTAAAGGAAATGCCTTCTTTGCTGAGGGCTCGCTTGTTGCTTAAATTTGGCGTTTGGTCATAGCACACACTTGGCCATAGGTTTGACTGGGCCACAGGAAACTGTGGGAGGGGGCACTCACAGCATTGATGCCCGACAGCTGCTGGGACAGCTGCAACACCACAGCAATGAGGAGTGGTTGGCGGTAGGCGGATGAACGGAACAGCTCCAGGATGGTAACTTTTTTCTCTCTCATCATCTGACGGCTCTCTTCCTTCATCTCCTGCAGGTCATGCGTCACGTCCGCAGTCCCTCGCAGCTTCTTCAGCACTGGGGGAGGGGCCAGAGGGAAGGTGGGGGTTGGCTCAGAGTGGGCAGAAGGCAGGGCTTGGGGACAAGACAGGGCAGGGCGCAGCCGTACCACTCTTGGCCCGGTTCTCCTCATTGCGGTTGATGAGCAGGAAGCGGGGACTCTCAGGGCAAAAGGGCAGCAGAATGCATTGCATCAGGGCTGGGACAAAGATGATGCTCAGCAGCAGTGGCCACAGCTCCCCGTTGCCCAGGATGGAGTCCAGGCCAAACACCTGGGGGAAGAAGCAGGGATGGAGGGAGCAGCTGTGGATGTCCTGGCCCCAACCCTTCTCCCAGTCCATTCAACCCACGGTGGCCTCTGCCTGCTCTTGGTCAGACGCTGCACACGGTGGTGTAGCTGCTGCTGTAGAGCAAGAGCTCCAGTTCTGAAGCCAGAGGGTCCTGCGCTCCTGCCGGCTCTACTACTAGTAAACGTGAGGAAACCTGAGTTTCCTCATCTGTATCACAGGCAACCTCCCTCATAGCATTACTGGGCAGACAAATGACAAGACAGTGACAAAATGTCCCCAGCATGGGCTTGGGGGGTTGAGAAGGGAAACCCTTCTGAAGAGAGGGCAGTGTGTGTGAAGGCCTGGTTAAGGACATGGGAAAAGAAAGGACACAGGGCTGAGTGGGCTAGAGCAGGACGGATCAAGTCACTTGGACCTGCTCTTCTGCCAATAAGGCCCAAGGGAGATTTGTGAGGGGCAGGGGAAGTGCCCTCTGGGGTCTGGGTCTGGGTCTGGGCCATATCTTTCTTTGCAGGGTTGTAGGAGGCAGAGCCTGCTAACCAAAGGTCAGTGGCTTAGACAAAAATGTGGCAGTTTGCTTCTATAAAGACTCACAGCCTTGGAAACCCTATGGGGACAGTCCTATAGGGTTGTTGTGAGTCAGAATGAGGTCACCGGTGGTGGTTTGGTGGCTGAGGAGGCTGATTGGGAGACCTCCTTTGGGGAGCTCTGCCAGATTGGACACAGCTGAGAGTCACTGAAGCGGCCTCGGCGTGGTGGAACAGTGCATGTGAACAGACCTGTCTCCACTTACCTGGGCGATGAGGATGCCAACGACGATGCCCAGCTGGTGAAGGGTACCCAGGGCCCCTCGGAGGGCCGTGGGTGACACCTCCCCCACATACATGGGCACAAAGCCTGTGGTCAGGCCACAATACACCCCAATGATGAAACGACCCAGGATCAGCATCTCGAAGGATTTGGCCAGTTTTGAGAAGCCCATAAGCACCGCAGACAGGAAGGCCAACAGGTTTATCATCAGCATCGAATTTCGCCTGGGGGGGCGAGAGCACAGATCAGGCAGGTCCCGAGGTGAGGGCTAGGATCCCTCTAAGCTTCTAGGGCCAGGGCCATGGGTAGTATCCAGGAATAGGGAGGCAGGGCTGTCTTCCCACTTCCCTCAGACCAGGGTTCCCCAAGACCTGAGACAGGACCTGCTGTGCTCACCGGCCAAAGCGGTTAACAAAGAGTCCCACAGAGAAGGAGCCGATCATCCCTCCCACGGAGAAGATGGCCACAGACAGGGACCAGAGCGTGGTGAGAGTGGTGGGCAAGATGGGCTCGCTGTAGCGGTGGATCCAGGTCTGGTTATAGAACTCCTCGATCACCTGCAGGGGGAGAAGCAGCCTAGGTGGGCCAGCCCCGGTCAGGCCCCTCTCTCCAAAGAGGGCTGGCCAAGGGCTGCCCAGCTGACACCAATGCACTGACCAGGTTTCTCGCCGTTTTGTGGACCTTAGTTTCCCCAGGTGAGAAACTAGGGGCGAGGCTCCATCTCTGGAGCCATGCCAGTCCTCATACTTTCCTGGAGGTATGATTTCCGGTGCCCCACTACACGCCCAAAGTGGCTTGCTGAGATGACGACAGCAAATGACCCATGGTGACAGTTCACGTAGAGAGAGTAAAGGGAAGAAGTGCTTCCTCCTGACCTGTCCCTTTCCTCCAAGCCCCAGCTCCTGCCACCTGGGCCCTGTCCATACCCCGCTGCCTGAAGAAACACAGCTGGGACAGGCAGGTGCTGCCATTCAGGAGCCCTGGCAGAAAGGTTTAGCACAGGGGGCTTGCAGACAGGCCCCCCAAGACTCACACTACCACTCACTGTCTCCCAAGCCCTGCTCCCTTGTGGCTGGCCTGGGAGTTCCACCTGGAGGAGCTCAGCCTCCTCCCCCTACAGCTGAAAGGTAAAAGGGAAGGCTAGGTAAGGACAAGGAAGCAATTCCAGGAATTGGAGGCACCTGTCCTAGCACAGCCCTGCCCCCACCGCAGGGAGGGTCTGGCCAGATGCCAGCTCTGTGGCAGGCAGGCAGCACTGATTCTGTCTGAGCACAACCATCATAGGCTCAGGCAGTGTAGACACACACCCACCATGCCAGAGCATAGGCCACACCTGCAGCCCTGGTGGTGATGTAGGGTAAGCACTGGTCTTCTTACAGCAAGGTGGGTGGTTCCAACCCACCAGCCACTTCACGGGTCACAATCAGTCAAAATCGACTTGGTGGCAGTGGGTGTCACTGAGTCAGGTGGTGGTTCCGACTCATAGTGACCCTGCAGAGGGTTTCCAAGGCTGTAAGTCTTTACGGGAGCAGAAAGCCTCATCTTTCTCCGGTGAAACAGCTGGTAGTTTCGAACTGCTGACCTTGGGGTTAGTAGTCTGTCTCGTAACCACGCTACCAGAGCTCAGTCAGGGGGCACCTAAAATTACCCCACCAGAGACTGGGACAGATTGACAAAGTCTAAGTAAGTCCCCAGCCCCTAATTTGAAATCAAGGCTCCAAGCAAGTATCAACCCATCCTCAATCACCTACCACCAGCTCCCACACCCAAAACATCATTTACTTTCCCACCCTTTCCAGGTCTTTGTAGATGCCCTATTCCAACCTGGAGGGTACCTTGCCTTACTAAGCTGGAACCTTTTGAGATCCAGCTCAAACCAGGGCCTGTCCCAAAACTGAGGTCCAGGACTCCTGGTGAGGGAAAGGAGAACTCTAGAAGCCCTGATTCTACTGGTGGCAGAAAGATGGCAGACTTAGCAAAACAGAACATACTGCTTGTGTTCTTCAAGAGATAAAATTGGCTCCAGAGGAGGATGGGTTGGCGAAAGTGATGGTCCATTTATCAGGCTGTGCGGAGAACAAGCTGTCCCGGGTGTTAAGGGAACTGTGCAGATAATAATGCTCACCCCTTGGAGGCTCACAGTTTCTGACCCAGCCTCTGAGTGAAACTTCTCTCCCTTTCACTTAGTTGCCCTGAGCAGCTAGTTCCTGAGCTCACTAAGGGAAAGGAGAGGTGTTTGTACCTGTCCTGACTGGCCCCAGGTGGGTTCAGTCTTCTTTTTTTTTCATTCCTGCATTCCATTATTCGAAGGGTCTTCCTTCTGTACTACAGGTGCAAACAGACTCTATACACCCTTTAAAAGTTTGCCGAGAAACCAGCTAAAGGGACCTGTTTGGATTGTGAGCAAAGCAAGAAAGAGGAATGCTGAGTAAGGGCCTACCAATTCTCCTACCTAAATGAGTGTAAGGGTGTGTGACATGTGGGAGTGAGAGAGGGAGAAGTCTGTTCTGTTTTGACAGCTCAGGTTTCATCCCCTTCTTGGCACTTGGCTTGAGACACTGAGGAAGCTAGTTGATAAACGTGATGTTACCGCAGTCCTGCCCCAGTTAAGTCTTGTGCCTGTGGTAACACTAGTCAGAGAAACCAGTTTGTCCAAGGCCCTCTGATGCTTAGGACATTTTCTGGGGTTGAGGAAGGATAAGCAGCCAGCCCCCTTCATGTTAACCTTGATTCCCGTCTCATCCTTTTCTCCACCCACAGAAGCTGTGCTTTGCTTTCTGTTCCTGCTGCTGGTGAGGGTGCTCCAGGTCTTTGTTTTCCTGGGGAGCGGGGTGGGAAGTCCGTGCCCTATGTAGGGCTCCAAGCTGGCTCTTGGCTAAGGAAAGGTAATGGAAGGTCGGGTGGGTGGCTGAGAGACGTTTTGGGGTTATGTCTTTTACCCAGTCATTCTAGAAGTGGACTAGGGTGCCCCTAGGAAAGAAAAGTCTCCTAAGTGAATCCCACAGACCCAGTTGCCCCAAAGTAAGATGGTGCCTCAGCCCTGGCTCAGGTAGATGATGGCCTGCCCATGTCTGCTTTGAACCCTCATCCTTCTGTGGCCATCACAGTCTGGGAGCGACCCTGACTCTGTTATCACCACCTTCTTTCCTAATTTGTCTCCCTATGCTACCACACAGCACAGGCCCTGGGGCTCACCTGGATCCTGCTCCTGACTCTTCCCACCCAGCAAAGCTAGCTTCCACTTCCTCCATGAAATGGCCACAAGGCAGCCACAGCTCTGCTGTCAGGTGCCCAGGCTCAGCCTGTCCATCTGCTTCCCTTTCCATCCACTTTGCCCTCTAGGTGAGTACATGCATACTGGGGACAAAGAGAAGGGGTCTGGACAGTTTGAGGGGGACTGTCAAGGCAGCAGCTGCTCTAGATTGAAGGGCTATGAGAAAATTCTGTCCAGCCCCCTCATTGTACCTGGGGGGTAAAGAAGCCCAGAGGGGTTACTGAGTATTACTGGGGGGGCGGGCATGGGGGAACTGAGAGATCTCTTGGGCTGGCTGGCTTCCAGTAAAAAGCTATTGCTCCCCTCTCGCAGTTCTCCTGGGGTGGAGGGAGAGGCTTGCTTCTGTCTAATGGCTCCTTGGGAGATCCCCCCCCTCAACCTGGGCAGTTGGGTGTGAAGGGCCACATGTCTGCCTGTCTGGGAGGAAGCTCTCACTTCCTCTCTCTGCTTAGCCTGTGTCTACAGCAAGGCCCTGGCCTGGGCCTGGGTGGGTGGCAGAGCTCACTGGCACATGGCAAGAAGTAAATAAGCCATGACTATTGTCATTGTGATTCTTGTGACCTTTTAACAGAGCATTAGAGACAGACTTTTCCATTTTTAAATTGCCTAAGGACAAACCACTCCCCTAAGGAATTTATAGTGGAAGAAAGAAGCTGAAGGCACGAGGGGTCTGCCACAGGGGGGGTGATGCTCTATATTCAGAGCCCTGCCTGGCTACCCCAGCAGCAAGGCCAGTCTGTAGAGCCCCAGAGGATTTAGACCTCCAGGGACAAAAGATTTCAACTCAGTAGAAAGAAGAGCTTTCTAGGCCCCAGAGAACGAGACTGCCTCCTGTGGAGGTGGTGAGTTCCCCGTCAGTGGGGAGTGTGTAAGTCAAAGTGATCTAGAGCAGGGATTGTGTATGCTTTCTGTTGAAGACCAGTGAGAAAATAATGTGAGTCACAAATGACTGCTTTTGCATATTTTCTTCTCTCCCCACTTAAAAAAACAAAACAAAAAACAATCCTTTAAAGACTATAAGAAGTATTCTTAGCTCACAGACTATAAAAAGTCCTCAACAAAACAACAAAAACAAATAGGCTAGCTGCTAGCCAGATATGGCCTTCTTGCCGACCCCTGATCTAGAATTCTAGACCCAAGCCAAGAGGCTGACTGGTAGGAGTATGTGTTCTGGAGTCTCTGCTGGGTTCACCAGCCCTCCCCGTGGGCTCCTGTAGACCTACTCCAGGAGGCCTGGCTCTCCCAGATCATTCCTGATGGCATCCCCTCTTTTAGGCCTCCCTGGATGCTACTCTGGGGATGATCGGGTTAAAGAGCCAGCCAATCTGTGAGCTCCAGGAAGAGGGAGGAAAGGGCCAGATTGTCCAGTGAAATCCCTCAGCTTGGCCTTGACCCCTGCTGACTCCCTATTCCCCCTCAGCACCCAGCCCAGAGCTAGGTCTCCATAGCAACTTTTAGCCACGCCCCAGAGTCAGCTGGGAGTTCAGCACCAGATGCTCTGGGTGGACAGACAACCCCGCCCACTTGCTGGGTCCCCCAGGGGACCTCTCTCCTGGTGCCCTAGGAGCCAGATGAAGCTAGAAGCATGAAACAAAAGATCAGACCACCCAGCCTGATTCTCTGGGAGAGCCCTGAACATGACTTCTCTCCAAACCAATGGCAGGCCTTTCCTCCTGCCTTGACTGGCTCCTCACTGGTCCCAGGCAGCCAGAGGGAGCTTCATCTCACCATAGCTGCCCCTGCCCAAAGCCTTTCTTGGCTCACTATCCTCATGATATAAAGTGTCTCCTCCTCCACACCCATACTATGACTCATACTATAAGCCTCACCCTGGTTCCCCAGAACTCACACAAGATGGCTTCTACTACCTGGACACCCCACACGTCCAAGCTTCATGCTCACCTGTTCGGTGCCTTCTTCCTGGTGAGCTGTTAATCACCTTTCAAATAATGCAGTTTCGAGAAAGCCTTCCTGATACCCACTCCTCCCCCATTGCAGTGGTTCTCAGCTAGGTTGGGGGAGGCAGGGGAGAGAGGGTGGTGGTTTTCCTCAGAAGACATTTTGGGTTGTCACACTGACAGAGTGCTTCTGGAAGGCAGTGGTAGAGGCCCAGGACTGCTCAACATCCTACAATGCACATGTATGGCAGCACCGAGATTGAGAAACCCTGCTCCGGGAGCCAGTCCCTCCCCCTTCCCTACTCCCACTGTGCCAATCCAGTTTCTGTCCCTGCCCTCATATAGCTCACTCCAGAGCTGGGGGCTTCTCAGGTTGGATTCACCA